ATGTATGTGCTCTACTACACGTTTCCAAGTCTATGGATGCTTGCCTTTATGCTAGACCAGACAGTCAGAGATAGACCAGTAGGGCTAACCAAGAAAAAGAGATAACATTTGCCAATCAAACTGGGCCAACCAAAAAGAATGGTTCATTCCATTTCCTATTCTTTTCCCAAATCCGGGGCAATGGACCCATTTGTCAACATGGAACAGCAAATTTTGTCTGAGAGGTGGTCCTGAATATTCCAGCTCCAGAGGTGGGACCTCCAGTGGTGGTCCCGATTATTACTGGAACAAAAAAGGACCCTTCTATTTGACTTCCAACCAGAACTTTCAAAGATTTTTGGCATAATGGAAAGCTCACCAAGTTTGCAGATGAAATCAGTCTGACCATTTAAATGAATCACATTGATAAGCCCTTGAATCTAGAAATAAACTTCTTTATTTTTAATTAGAATTTTAGCATCNGTGTATCAAAGGAACTGATGAATCCACTCTGGATAGGGATTTAACGGTTCTTTTAATGCAGCATGATCCGAGTGATCTCTTGAGGCAGAGCTACATATATGTCATTTCAAAGCAATGCACCCGAAGCTTTTCAGAAAATTATCTCATGTCAGATTCACAAGTCATTTTGATGTTCGGTTATTACATCAGATCATAATGTAAAATTAGTTGGACATCTTCAAGAATCTGGTCAGACAATGTGCAATGACTGACTGTTATCTCCACCACTAGGCTTTGAAATTCTGAGTTCACATGCTATTAAAAGGCACAGGAAACATGTTCTTACATAAATGACTCTGCCACAGAAATTTGCCAGTTGTGCAAACAAGTACATGTATATCCCTAGCATGCACCTCCTTAATAAGTGGACCAGAAAATATAAGCCATAAACTTGTACTAACCACTTGACATTCTTTCTAATCCTGGTTCATTTTGTCTCCTTTGTTTTGAACTGTCACTTCTTGTACTTCTTCTTTCGGATCTATTTTGTCTTCTTGGCGGCGATTGATCTGAATCACTATTTGCATGCTTCCTTGGAGGTGACTGATCAGAATCATTGTTCATTCTTTTCCTGGGAGGTGACTGGTCTGAGTCTCCATTCAATCCTGAGTGGGGAGGGGATACGTCAGGGGAGTCATTTCTAACTCTCCTCCTAAGGGATCTGTCAGGACTTGCCTGTAACCGTGATTGTCTAGAGGGTGATAAGTCGGGACTGTGACTATGTGTTTGCTCTGGGAGCGAATCACCAGAATCGTGTCTTCTTCGTCTGGCTCTCGGAGGACTATGGCCTCCCTCACTAGAGACATCTCTCCTCCCGTCTGATGACAAGTCCCTTACCGAGCTACGTGGAGGGGCTCTGTCTTTTTTCCCGGGTGGCGATTGATCAGGGTCGAACAGCACTCCACTCCTTCGAGGAGACAAATCTGGAGTGTCCTCTCCGTCTCTGCTTGTCATTCTTGGTGTCGAATTGTTACTATTAGAATTTGGTCTTTTTCCTGCCTCCGTATGAAATACTGATTGTGATTCTAGGCTAATTGGCGCCCACTTTGTTTTCTTATCTTCTTCCCGCTTTTTGAATGTTTCAAGTGATATTTTTGTGACGCCATCCTCCTCATAAACGGCCGGAGCTTCATCGACTTCGCCTTCGAACTCGTTCGTTTCTTGCGCGGAATCTCGGATTTTGATATCTCTGACAGTTATATCGTCATCCACTATGATAGAAGTTGGATGTTTGGACGCCGTTTTAGGGATCCTTTTCTTCTTTTTCTTTTTCGCACCTTCAGAATTTGACAAATAACGTTTGAGGTACTCTTGCTTCGAAATGGCCGCCATCTTGAAAATAACCATGCGCAGATTTACTGTGCATTTGTTATCAAGGCTACTGCTGAGCCAGTGCAGGCTCAGGATCAGGAGAAAAAGAGACCAAAACATGGCGGATTGGGATGAGATAAAAAGATTAGCGGCCGATTTTCAACGTGCTCAGCTGAGTAGCACGGCTCACAAACTTTCGGAAAGAAATTGCATTGAGATAGTACAGAAATTGATTGGTCTTGGCCTTGTCGAGGTTATTTATACCACGGATGGCAAGGAATATTTAACCCCACAACAGCTTGAACGGGAGATAAAAGACGAACTGTTTGTTCATGGAGGTAAATATCTCTGTTATTTAATTGACACTTGTGGTGAAATCTGTAGTGGAACTATCATTTTTATTATCTTTTTCAGGAAGAGTTAATTTGGTGGAGTTACAGCAGGTATGTGATATTTATTTTTTGTTGATTACCCTACATGAGTCACTCCATTATTTTCTGGAATGATGACGTGTTTTTACGTGAATTTATCAAGTGTGTTTCAGATAAGTTCTATAGAAAGTCTACTGTTGTTTTGGATTAATTAAAAAAAATTGATTGTTAAATGCTACTTGTTTCTTTCAAATGTGTTTATAAACCTCTGAAAATATTAACTCCTCCTGCCCCTAAGAATATGTACACATGGCGGGATTGTAAGCTTAATCATAAGCCATCCCTACCCCTACCAGCCAAGCCCAAGGGCTGCACTGGAAAACCATTGGGCCAAGGTCCTGACAGTTCGCGTTTGGCCTTAACTGGCTTGACATAAAAACTGAGGGCCGATATTCTTCCAATATGATCCCGTGCCAGCTTGGTTGATAAGAAATTTAATATACAACTAAAAATATAATTTTAGAAAAGTTCTCACCATCACGTTGGAAAAATAACATTGCAAACTTCAAGTGTGCAATTCTGATAGGGAGCCAGCTAGGCATATACTTACTTTTGATATTAAGAAAGAAAAGAGAGCTGAAAAAAAAAAAGGAAAGAAATATTTTATGTAAAAGCAAGTTCTTTCAGTAAAATGAGCCATAACAACTACCAGAAAATCTTTAACAGTGATCACACGGGATCATTTGGGACAGTGGCCAGTCCATTACTTAGAGAATATTTGACCAGCAATGGAGCAATCTGATTGGTTGGTTTTAGTTATTGACCCACAGATCTGAATTAATTTAAAATTAAATCGTTTCTGAGACCATCTTTAAAATAGATTATTTTTCTGAATTAATATCAAATAAATGAATTTATGTTGTGAGTACTGCATGGTTGTTTTCAACAGTTGTACATATCTATACACTGGTTTCACACATACAGTCTTAGGGGACTTTTAAACTTTTCTGTTTCTTGTAAAGTGTTGACATGAACCTCTTCATGATGACCACCCTAGGCAAGAGTTAGCTATGGTTGACCCTTGCTATGTTGAACTCTCAATGGAAGCAAAAAATAGCTCTTGATACTGTGGGTTCAAGCTAGTCCATAGACGGGGTAAATATCTGAAAAAGCCAATCCAGGGGAAAATGAGTTAACATTTATTTTCTCAGAGGACCCTCCTGAAAACCACTTATGGTGATTGGAGGCCTCCTCTTAAAATATTATGTATTATTATTATTTATTATTATTGTAGTTTGAGAGAGCAGGGAGTTTGAGATAGTGAGCTTCAACTGTAGGTTCTGTAGAGAAGTTGCCTCAAGTAGTGGGGAAGCTCGATGAAAGTTAAGTGTGTGTATCAGCCTTCACTGGTTGGGACAAAACTCCTGGCTGCTGTAGAGACTCAGAGGTAGCTATAGATATTTATACAGAGGTGGCCCCCTCTCTATCATGGCTACTAGCTAACCTGTCAAGTCGTGTCAACAGCGTTGGTGGAGGTTGGACTGTGTAGAACACATGATCAATGTTGTGTAATATAAAAGGTGCTGTGGCTCCTCTGTTAAGAGAAACTTATCTACCTGATGATTTTCTTTATTAGATTATAGGTGTAGACCTAACCCATATTGAGAATAAAGTCAGTGAAATTGTAAAGCATGACAAGAATTTGATTGTCATCCAAGGAGAACTTATTGACAAGTAAGTTAGAACTGGAATATTATAATCAGTAGTTGAGTCAGTATTATGCCAGGATACTAACACTGTTCACATACAGTTATTGTCATTGTTATGTCCAACTGGTGCACTATAATTGTATGATTTTAGAAAATAGCCCAAAGAAAATATGTGGGCTGACGGGTTAAAAGTGTATTTCTAGAAATTGATAAAAACAGAAAAGTTGTTGCAGTCACTTTGTTTGATATTTTCTTTGGGCTGTTTTCTTAAAAAGATAGGAAATGTTTTCTCTGTGTTTCTATGAAGGTACTGGCATAGGAAAACTTGTGAAAGTTTGGAGAAATCAAAAACCTGTTGAAACACTTGCCTATTGGCTTGTGTTGCCATAGCATTTCTTTTTCTCCCAAAATTTCACTCGTGTTCATGAAAACGCGACAGAAACAGGGAAAATGATTTCTATTTTTAAATCACTAGTCTTGTAGTTCCAGACATAGGCATCTCTGTTAAAGTTAAAGTGCTACAATTTGCTAAATCAGAATTTACTTAATACAGCTGCAGCTGATTGCAGTATTGTTAGGGTTGATTTATACATGGTATACATACAACTGTACATGTCCTCTGGTCCAATTAGACTTCCTGTCCTTGTTCTTCTACTGACACAAAATAATCTGTCCCAGTGTTCAAAGAAAAGAAAAACTCTTGTAACAGTACGGTAAGGTTGAAGTAATATATCAAACAACGAGAGACAGTGTTTCATTGGGATATCCAAACACCGAGAAGAGAGTTGAGAATATGACGTGCAACGGAGTATTTTTGACGAAATTCGAGGTGTTTGGAGAGCCGATGAAACACTGTATCGGGTGTTTGATATATCTTCTCAATCGAAACAAAAACTAAGGAGCAAACAGAGAAGTAAAATCGTCAAAATCTATGCTAATTAAGACCGGGTATCCAAACCTCCTTCACGGTTGTGATTTTCTTTGTTTTAACGTGATGAATGAGTTTGAGAATATTGTTTCCATGCTGAAGTCAACTATAAGGTATTTCAGAACAGTAATTGAAGAACTAACCAATGACAACCTGAGTATCACATGTACATATTTATCAGCCCATTTATTTTGTCAAGTGAGATAGACAGAGGGGAGATTGTTCACACTTGCCTTAGTCTTTCCACTGGTGTGGTGAAGCTTAAATGGTTCATTGTCTTTTGACCTTATCCAATGATCAGGATGGCGATTACATACTCTTTAACTTTATTCTCCTTGTGCATGTATAAAGTGGCTCTAGCAGTTATCAACTTGTACATGTTAAAATAGGCAAGCAGTAAGGGGTGAGAGGTGTGAGAGGATTAGTAACATTATTGAGAGCTAGCCATAAACAGGCTAACATGAGCAAAATTAATTCATGCTAACTGGAGTGCTCTTCAGGGTAACCAAGATGCTCTTTGGACTTACCCCTTATGCCTCACCCCTCACCCCTCAACCCACTTGCCCTTATTAAAACAGAACTAATTATTAGCAACTGATAGAGAGTTGAAACCAGAAAGTTCAGTTCTTCGTACAATTGGATCAAGACTAACATCAAATCCAGAACAAGAATCACTAATCTTATGCTGTGCAAGAGTTTTAAAATCAAACAGCTGGACAACACAATAAATCAAGAATTAATATAACTGCAGTAAAAAGCTACAGTGTACCAGATGGATTGATTTGTCATAAACAGTCTGTAAAATGGCAAATATCCTGACAAAGCTGCACAATCACAAACATGACAGGACACAGGAGGATTTTTGTTAATATGGCATTAATTTGCATAATTTGCAAGTTCAGTTATGAGATCATATAGCACATCCCAGTCTCTATTTATGGTTAATTACCTCTTTGTGTATTCTTGCGACTCTAGTAACTACTTAGACCAAGTTGCAGAGGAGATCAATGACACCCTGCAGGAGTCTGGTCAAGTGATTATTTCAGAGCTTAGCAAGACATTCACACTGTCTACTGACTTCCTCCTTGAGGTAAAATTATACATGTACAGATAATCTACAATATTTGCAAAGTACATGTAAATGATTTTCAGTCAAGTAAATACAAACAGTTTAAAACAATTAATATATGTTGTTGTTTTTATTTAGAAATTTTAATGTTCTGGATTTGTTATGTACATACATGTATTATGTCAAATCAAATTCAAATCAAATTAAAAAAAACTCTTTATTAATTTCTCAAAATTTAGCTAGCCAAGGGGAAACACCCCTGTACTAATTGGGGACACCGAGTATAATTGAGGGTTTCTTACTGTATTGAAAATGGTGCAGCATCCAAAACTTGTGGTTAACAACTGTTTTACTTACATATGGAAACCAATAAGGAAATATTTTTTAGATGTAGTCATACACTGAATTTCAGTCCTCCATGGTTGAACATAGTAATTTTGGCCTAAAGAATTCAAGGTTAAAATGACATCAGTCCATTCTGATTCTTGATGACAATTATTATTTCTTACTCTGTAGGCAGTTACACAAACATCGACACTTTATCTTTCAGCGATACTAATACCAGAACATATCACTTTTGGGCCTGATTTTAGTTACTAAACACTCTTAACTTTCAGTAGACACTTAAAAGTGACATCGTCATAGTTACCTCTCCAATACGGACACCTCTCTAATACACTTTGCTCTGTCTCTGGGTTAACTTCTGATTGGATCACAAAGTGTTGCTGGTTTTTTTAAGCATAGTTAGCATACATGTAGTTACACAATACCAATGAAAGCAAATACATTTACTTGCAATACTCAAAGGAGAGCCGCTCTAATATCCTGTAGTTGATGCATTCAATATTTTCATCTCCTGCAGTCTACTTCACGATGCATTGATGCTCTTAGGAGATAATGGATGTTGTCTTAGGCATACAGGTCCGGGGGCGCAGGGGGGTGCAGCCCCCCTAGTTTCCAAAATTTTTGACATTTCTTGGGCAAAACGCTCATGATTTGGGAGAATAAACATTCTAAAAGTTTGTCAAGGCCAGGCTTGTAGGCTACTTTCTCTGATGTTTGCCTTGCCAAAATGGAGTTAAGGTTGAATGATATAAGGATCAAGGTATTCTGTTTTGGAAAAGCCATATAGTTTAAATGTGTATCATGAGAAATGATTTCCATCAACAAAACAATGACAAAAGAATCAAAGCAAATGAAGACCGAGACTTTTGTTTTTGTGGTGGCTCTGAAAAGAGCCATTTTGAATGATTCTACAAAGCGTGGTTTTAAAATTTTCATGAACTTTCTGTATGAGGAAGAATTAACAACTAATGTGGTGTCCAGTCATTTTGATACAAAGTCATTTCATTACAAAGTCATTTCAATGCAAGTCATTTTGATACAAGTCAAAGTTGATTCAATACACATTTTAAGTCAATTCAATACAAAACTTTAAGATACCAAGCAGTCTGAAATAGAATTTCCAAGTTTAGAATTGCCAAACGATACTAAATGTTTTTGTTTTGTAGTGGACGATGGCTCGTCTGACTTCCCTTCAAATCGGGCTTGTTTCAAAGAGAGATAAGGAGATAAAAAGACTTTCATTGGGATATTTCTTCTAGTTTACTTTTGCTATGAAACGACTTCAGTTTTCATCAAATTGACTTTAGATGTGTATCAAATCAACCGCCATTTCTATCGAACTGTGACTTGTATGGAAACAACGTTGTATCATTCGACCATTAACCATTAACTGTTTCTTTTAGAAGTTTCTGATTTTACCAGGCTGTTGATCAAGGTCACAGAGTATGCGACGTTTCAAAATAACAATTTTTGGAATGATAACAGTTTCATTAGACTGGTGAACAGTTTTGTTTTTACTGTGATTTGAGTGTGTTTGAACAACACTCTTGCTTTCGAGCACTGTAATTTTTTTCAGTCAGTAAGGTCACTTACCCCCCCCTCCCCCCAAGTCCGAAGTTGCCCATATGCCTATGGATGTTGTCAAATCACTCTTGGAAATTTGAAGCCTTTAGAGTCTTGTCACATTGCAATTCAAGACATGTAACTGTTTACAATGTACATGTACTGTGGTGGATGCATCTGATTCTGAGTGATTGTTTCCTATTTTCTCTTGTTGCACTGTAGATTGTTGAGGCCCGACTAGGAACAATCATCCATGGGCAGCTTGATCAACTCGAGAGAGGTGTCCTGTTTACTGATGCATTTGTGGCTAGGCAAATGGCTTGCATAAGAGGAGTGTTTAGTGCTATAACAAAGTACGTCAATAAGCAGACACTTGCAACTTAAATTGATGCTTTCTTGCTCTTTTACCACCATTTTTGATGGCTACATACTCTGGTAAATTGTGTTTCATGTTTATTGACCCCAGTACTATTTTACAGAGTGACATTATTTTGCTTTTCTTCCAGACCCACTCCTGTGTCATCTCTTATGGCTCAGTACGGATTCCAGGAAAAGCTCTTTTACAGTAAGTTCATTGATCCACTGTCAGAACTACAGGTTACAATGTAAAGCACTGCGACGTGTGTCTGGTTTTGAAGCCCTGTGGAGTAGACTAGGGCTGATGGGTGTAAAACCAAGCATGTACACCCATTGGTAGCAGCAAGGTATCACCAGCAAATGTGACATTGAGCTTTCTCTGTATCCCTTTGCTGTCTTTTTTGTTCCTTGTTTTTACTCTTCTTCCCTTAGTTCTTAATGTCCTGTTAAATACAAGTTGGGTTGGGGATCATTTGTGATGTTGGTTGTTAGGTTCTGCAGAGTATGCCTCATTTTCATTTCACGATCTCTCTGAACATTGATCCTCATGTGTTGTCTATGACAAGATATGACCGTATACTGGATAGCTAAGTCAGCACCATTTATATTGTTACCTACATGTGCTAGAATATCCTGCAGAAGTGAAAGGAATGAAACTCCAAGGACAGTAAAAGTCACAGAAATGGAAAATGTACAATAGACATTTTTCGACTGGGTGGTTTGTTGCCCCATTTCAGACCATGTGATGATATTCTTGAGAATTCTTCCTTTCAAATTTTCAAATAGTCGTGTGCATGTGAATAAAATAATTTTAAGATGGACAAAGGAACAATTCTGTAGAGAATATCACGTAGTCTGTAATGAGAAAACAAACCGCCCAAGCAAAAAACGTCTATTTACCTTATAATAATAATAATAATAATAATAATAATAATAATAATAATAACAACAACAACAACAACAATAATAATAATAATAATAATAATAATAAATTAATAATAGTAACAATAATAATAATATTAACAATAAGTTTATTTAAGTGTCAAATGTGTTTAGCACTATTAAATGTGCTAATTGGGGACACTGTAAATGAATAAACAAATATTTCAAATATAACATAGACTATTAAGAATCCCAGCTACAGTAGTTGGAGGCTGACCAGCTGGCTATTTACACAATGCAGTCGAGGAGTTGAACTCGGGGCTTTTTACTCTTCTTCCCTTAATCAAAGTTTGATACTTCACCGAAAATATGTCACGAAAATGACTGTGCTGGTAATAACTATTATTTCCTGCTACAGCTGATATTGACCAGTTATGCTCTGAGGGTCGCATATCAGGCAGCATACAGGGGCGACAGGACAAGGCTGTCTTTGTTCCAGATATTTATTCCAAGACACAGACATCTTGGATTGATGACTTCTTCAACCAAAATGGCTACATTGGTAAGTAACTGACTGGCATGATTCTTTACAAGATGTTTTAACACATCTCAACTGAACAATTGAGGTGGCCCAAGTTATGCCTATCTCTACGACGTCAGGCATTGATTTTGTTGAAAGGCAATTCTCCATCGCCTTATGCTGCATATTTCTTGGCATGATGCTGAGGAGATAATATATACCTTAACTATAGTGAACCTAACTACAATTTTAGGTACACATTAACAAGTCCTTTTTTTGTTGTTAAAAAAAACAATATCAAGAAAGGGAATCGACTGAAAAAAGTACTTGAAAACTCAGAGATCATTTTCTTTTTAGTTTGAATAAGTAAAGTTAGATTGTTACTGAATATTTCATTGTTTCCTGTTCAGAGTATGATGCACTTTCACGGCTTGGTATTACTGACGGAAGACAATTTTTGAAGAGGAGGTTTCAAAAGTTACCAGTGAAGTTTCTTCCCACCTGTTGTGTGGGTGAGTCTTTACAAGACCAGGTCGAAGCTGCTATCGATGAAGCTCTTTCCGGTGGTGAATGGGTCGACATACTGGTGAGCTTTTTGTGAAGTAATTTTGAACTCTAGACTTTTTAAGTGTATAATACAAAATTGTTCATTAAAATGATAATGTCACCTTTTAGCCAGTTAGCAGTCACAATGCAATCATCACTGCCCTAATCTGAAACTGCTTCATTGAAATAATTCATTTCAGTCTGATGTCTTTTTCTTTTGTAGCCTCTCCTTCCATCGCCATTTACTCCAGATGATGCCGCCCAATTGTTACAGGGTTGTCTGAAGGCTTCTGGTCGCTCCTCAGCTCATGTGTTTTGTGAGAGTATTGTGGTCAGTGAACAGTTCCTACAAAACTGTAAAGATCCCTTCCAACAACTGATGCAAGACAAGGCTAAGGCAGTAAGTTATCAGTGACCATTCTTGACTGGCTTTAAATGTGACCAATAATTAACCTATCTGGTAAATGCCAGGGTGGATCTAGTGGGTTCAAGGGGTTCAATCCAGCCCCCTAAATTAAGAAAATGAGACATTATAACACACTGACTTGGCCTCAGAATGCCGGAAATCCCATTTCTAAGGACCTCAATTTAAAAGTTTTATCCCTTTAAGGGATCCCCTTTGGCACTCTGTATCTCGAGCCCCCTTCTCTAAAATCCTGTATCCACCCCAGAAATATATGCTTTAAGTTCACAGTTTTGATCATCAATGCTCCTTTTTTGTCTTCCTTGCAATCTTGCACTGCTACTCCACTGATTCAAATCCAATTGTATTATGTTGTTCCAGATTTATACCTACACTCCCACAGAGGGTTTATTGGTTTGAACCCCCTNTCTGGAAATTTCACCCTTGGTTCATATTTTCCTTTAAAAGTTTGGCTTTTGAGATCTCATTGGTTGCCACTCGTGTTTCAAATCAGAAGTAGAATTGTTACTTATCAACGCTCTTTTTTCATACGCGCTTGCCACGCATGGAATATCCCGCCGACTGAGTTACGGACACGTTACATCTCTCTAGCCTCGTTTAAACGTTTACTTCTTCAATATTAAAATAGGACTCTAGATCTGTACGAGGTTGACGACATAAGAACATGGAGAACAATCTGTCCCAGGAACA